TTTTTTTTTTTTTTTTTTTTTGTATCCATGGTAAGTAACTTGGGAACCTTTAAAAAGTCACTTATTTTTATTTTTATTTATGTGTATGAGTGTTCTGCCTGCGTGTATCATGAGCACACAGTGCCCAAGGAGGTCAGAAGAGGATGTCTGATCCTATGGAACCACAATCACAGATGTTTGCTAGCCACCATGCAGTTACTGTGAACCAAACCTAGGTCCTCCGCCAGAGCAACACGTGTTCTTAACCACTGAGCCATCTCTCCAACCTGATTTGGGAACTTTTTGAGACAGCAAAAGAACAGAACTTTTGGTGGTGAGAAGTGCTTGTAATCCTATCTTTGGCTTTATTTTATAAAGTACCCCCCCTTCTCTTATCAGCTCAATATGTATGTATTGATGTACTAATACAATGACGGGCATCACTGTGACATTTCCATACATGTATGTAACAAAGTTTATTGATATTCACATTCCCCTTTCACTCCCAACCTTCCTCTGGCCCACTTGTTAGGAACGGTTATAACGGGATGATAAAGAGATTGTTACAAGTGAAACCTGGGGATGTTTGAGTCAGGTCTTCTGACGGCTCTTCCTTTCGCGTGAGCCAGCATGTCCTGCATTGGAAAGGCTGAGCAGGCAAGCTTGCCCAGCACAGCACATTTCTGGGTGGACAGCTACCATACTAACTTTTCTTCCAGTTGACGTTTTCTTTCTCTTCTGAGTCCCCCTGGCATCCCCTAATCAGAAATATGAACACTAAAAATGACCACTGTTCACATTCAGCTTGCGTGTACTGCAGATGAAAATTGGGACATCATAGCCCTCCTGAAGAGGCCGTTTGGGACTTGCAGCTGTCGGCATGTGACAGAAAACTTGGAGAACCTGAATCATTCTAAGATGCAGCTTTAGTGGTTTCTTTTACATGACAAGAGAGTCTCCCACCGGATAATTAAAAGTTCCTGCCAGGCTCCTGCTGGCCTCTGAAACTTGAATTGGACCCTGAATCATACGGCTTTGGGTCTGTACAAAGGTGAAGCATGACCATCTTGAGCTGACCCACAGGATGATGAAATTGCTGCCGTCGATGGAGGACGGTGAGAAACCAGGAGGCCGGCAGAGACCAGGCAGGAACGAGGCCGTCGCGGGGCCCAACTCAGCCAGGCTATGTTGGAGGAAGGCAGCTAGCTCCATATCTTATCAATTGTCATTTTGTGTGATTGAAGACAGCCCAGCATTAAAATCTTAAAAACATGTGTGTGGGGGTGGTGTGGGGCAGGCATGGATAGAAGTCTAAATGCCATGGCACTCATTTCCAGAGCCCTCAAGAGATAATGTCCCCGTGGAAGCTGTGTGGGGCACTTAAGGGTAGCTTGCCGCTCAGCGTAATAAAGTCCCGAAGTGACCGTTACATTTTCTGATAAAGGCTCCCTCTTGCCTACTGGCAGAAGCTGATGAACATGACTGTGGAGTTAAGCACCCAAGGCAGCAGGGGAAACTGAGATAAAAACCACTGCAGTTGTTAACGTAGGAGCTGTTTAATGGTACAGAAGGTGTCAGGAGCGGGGCTGGTCTGACCGCATTCCCACCGCGATGCTGCCCTTTTCAGGTACAGCGTGTTAGGTTTGCATGGCAGCCCGCAGCCTGGACCAGTCCTCACAGCTGTGGCCCGGAAGGGTTTGCGTCTGGAAGGCTCACAGTCAGCCGTCTTCGCACCCCCGCTGGGCCCCTCAGAGCTGCCTGGAGACAGCGGCAGATCGGTGTGAAACTTGTCATTCATATTTGGGGCTCTTGGGTTCTCTTCGCTTTTCATCCAAAGAGATGGGTGTGCTCCAACTGTTCAGACAGTCTATCCACCAAATGGTGCCGGCCAGACTGGGGACCCAGAGCTGCAGACTCAGAGTGGGTCTGTCACTGCATACAAATCCATTCAAAGTGGCTCAAGCCTTTTATCCTAAGAACAGAGACACCAAAACTTTGGAAAGCACAGGGGTACACCTGCGATTATAGGACAAGAGCTTCCCGAACAGGACCCCAACCGCGCAGGGCACAGTCCCATGAATCAATAAACGGGGCGACTGAACTGAAAAGTTCCTGCGACACAGGAGAGTGAGCAAATGGCCTACAGAAGAAGAGAACATTGTTGCCAGCTGCCCCCCCCCCCCAGAGAGGGCGTGTGATGTCAAAAATAAACTAAAAACTGCACACATGAAACACCAAGACCATAAAATTACTCATCAATGAGTAGAGAGGTCTCAGAAGACATACAAATGGCCCGTGAGCAGTTGCTGGTGTTTTTTTTTTTTTATGTTCCAAATCGTCAGCCATCAGGGAAGTGTAAATTAAAACCACTTGGAGAATCTATTCCATCTCATCCTGTTGGGATAGCAGTCTCAAGATGAGAAACCAGGACTAATGCTAGTGAGGCTGTGGGGAGGGAGGGCCCCGGGTCCAAACGTCTTCCCAGGGACACCCAAGGCCAAACACCAGAGCAAATGTCCACCGATATCTTTTAGGGAAGTGAAGATGGGGATGAACTTTGCAGTTGTTATGTATGTAGCTGGACATACAGATCTTAGAGCTGGTCAAGTTACACTGTACCTCATCTTTAAAAAAGATCATCCATAGGAATCTTTCGTCAGTTGCCTGTGTACTGATACAACATGTCAGGGCTGGAGGGGAGGCCCAGTTTATCATGGCATGAGGGTCTCCCTGGAACAGCTTGTCTTAATCAGGCCCGTTCGTCAGTAGCTACGCTCTAAGCAAGGATCTAGTTGGATGGGAAGTTTTTGCTACGAGGAGGCGGGACGCTGATGAGGGAAGGGTGGGCCGTAGTGTGGACAGGTTTTAGGTCACCCCTTATCCTTAGGAAAAGCCCCCTCCCAGGACTGTGGTCCTCACATCCTCACATGCGTGTTATTCTTGGGCTGTTGTTTAGGGATGATCGTGATCAGGGCTGGGATGCTGATGTCCAGCGTTTAAAAACAACTTCCTTGGGAAGAGGAACAGTCTGGAGAGCCCACTGAGGAAGGGCACGGAGCCGTAAACTCCAGGAGTGTCCTCATCTAAACAAAACAAAGCAAAAAAACAAACAACCGAGAAACTGGCTGAGTGGAATAATAATAATAATTCTGGGGCCACTGTTGCTTCTAGAAGAAGAAAGAGCTTTCAGGTTTGGAAGGGCTTTTATTGACTAGAGGGTAGGAAGGGGGAGGCCAGGGGCCACAGAGGATGTGTTTCCTTCCTCCTGATAATTGTTTGGCCAGTCGCTGTACATGCTCACACACCAGGGTCTGCAGGAGGAGGCTGCCAAGAGAAGCCTCTCCATATATGCACATGGGGAAAAGCCACCCATCTTGATAATAACTTTTCTGAACTTATTAGGTGTCCTGTTCCACTGCTCTGTTACTTGTTTGCAGGTTTTGGAGTCCAGCAGTTTGTGGCAGGACATCCTTTGGAGAAGCCTCTTGGCTGAGCGCTGGTTGTCCTGTCCTTAGCCTTACCTGTTTGGGAGCCTTGTAGGGACCGATGATCGGGTAAGAGCCTTAGCACTGGCCCCAGACTAACAGTGTCTCCTCAACAAATGGTGGTGTCTGTCCCAGTGGCAACTGATACTCTTCTTCTGTGTCTTGTTAGGAAGAACCACTAACCATTTAGAGAAATAACAAAGATTCTTTATTTAACCAAGGCCTAGCTAGGAAGTGTTGCTACCCATCCAGAGTCGAAAGGATGGGGGTGGACCACAGAACTGAAAATTACTGGGGATTTTTTAATAGAAGGATTTATCATACATTTATTTGTTTGCCCCCCAAATCCTTACAAGGGCCTTGATTCGTGCTAGATGCTGAACTATATGCTCAGATAAAATGGGCATCAGCACAGCGGCATGGGAACGATTCTGACTTCATGGAGCTATAGTTCGGGAGGTCTCCCCTGAACCTTCTCTAGGGCTTTGCAGGCAACTCTGCTTGAACTCTTTCAGAACAAAAAGCTCCTTTCAGAAGCCCATTGGTAGACCTTGTCCTCTCAAGAGGTCTTCCATCTCAAGTGTTTTGGGAAGCAAATGCTTACAGTATTTGGGGGGGCCTCTAGTTCACTTCTAAACAAGCCACTAGCCATGGACAGGTCACATCAAATTTAGGCAAGGGAGCCTCCTGCACCTTCAGGATTCTGGACATTTCCGATGTATTTTGGAAGGACTGGGAACCACTTAATATAGATATCCTGTAAATTCCACTCTCCCCGAATATGTGTTTACTCAATTGTTATGGGAGCACGTTCTTCTGTCTGTAAAGTGAGATACTCAGAGAAGAAAAGGGAGCAGCCCCCCACCCTGCCCCTGCCCCCACCCCCCATTCCATCTGCCCTCACCCCCACCTCCTAGATAATCTTTGGCTTAAACCTGTGTTTAGAATTTAAATATGAAAAAGGTTCAAGCTGCAACACACTGGAAACTTTTTCAGTGACTACCCCTGTACCACGCTAACGTCCCTCTGCCCCTCTACCCATCCACTGACTCTTTTCCTCATTGTTTTATAAAGTAGTTTGTGCCTGTTTGAGTCACTTTTAAGATAACAGGGCGGCCTTGTAAAGCTCAGAAAGTTGTTTATGTGCTTCCCATCAATCTCTGCCAGTTTCCTAACTCACCCAAAGCAGCCACATTGTTCCCGTTTTCCACTGTGGGTTGGCTTTTCGGCTGTTCTAGTTGCAATGTGTTCTCTTCCTATGAGCCTTTAAAAAATGAAATATTATGTCTGTAAAGTCACTCTCTAGAGGACCTGGAGGGATGGCTCGGCAGTTGAGAGCACTTGCTGCTCTTGCTGAGGACCTGGATTTGGTTACCAACACCTGCATGGTTACTCACAACCATCTATAACTCTAGATCCAGGGGACCTGATGGCCTTTTCTGACCTCTGAAGATACCTGGCAAGTACGTGATGCACATACATGTAGGTAAAGCATGCATACCCATAAATAAATATGTTTGTAAAATGAAAGAATTTGGAGTTGCTTGATATTATTGACTGTTTCCGTAGTTCCTTTTGATCATCACTGTCTTATTCCATATTGTGCTATGTTGAAATTTGTTTCTCCATTTTCCTACTGAGGGACAGACACCCAGACTGTATCATCCAGGGGATAATGTAAATAAAGCCACATGAGCTCTCTCATCTGTGTCCTCAGTAAATAAATGTTTTCATTTCTTTGGGTAAATATTGAGGACTGGAATTGTTGTGTTAAACATAACTGCATGCTCAGCTTTATAAAATATAGCCAAACTGGATGTCTCACTTTACACTCCCTCAAGAAATGCAAGACAGCGCTTCCGTTGGTCTAGAAGTTCAGGGTTTTGGTAAAGGCTGAAGGATAAATACTTCGGACTCTGCCCATTGTATTGTGTGCTGCGAACTTCCAAAGTTATTAATCTCTCTGGAGAACCAACTTTTGACTTTCTGATTTTTTTTTACATGTTAACATCTATATTTTATCACCTTAAATTTCCACACACATCTATTCTTTTATTCTATTTATTTTGAATTTAATTTGCTCTTCTTTGATATCCTAGTTAGGTTACCTCATTTTTTGACCTCTAAAGTTTTCAAACAGCATTTTACTCCATAAAAGCTTTCCCAAGCACCACTTTAGACACACCCATCTACCATGTATTTAATTCTATGTCATTACTGTGAGTTAGGATATTTTTTCCCTTAGTGATTTATTTTCTACTGGAGGCATCGTTGGAAATGCATTGCTTATTTCTCAAATCTGTAGCAAGTTCTCAAGATATATTTTAGATTGATTTCCTATTAAATCCCAATTTCAGATATAATATGCTTATGGATATAGTATGCTTATGGTTTTCAATCATTTAAGTTTTATTAAAATTTATTGTATAGCCAACATATAATGCATCATGGTAAATAGTCCATAGACATAAGAAAAGAATGTGTATTCTAAATTATTTGGTTAAGTGTTTTTTCTTTCTTTTCCTGTTCCTCTCTTCTCTCCTCTCCCCCTCTTCCCTTCCCCTCTTTCCTCTTCTCTTAATAGCGTAGCCCATGCTGGCCTGAACCTGTGAACCTCCAGCCTCAGCCTCCCCTGTGCTGATTCCATCAGTCCAGTAGCAGGTTAAATGTTCTATCAATATCAATTAGCTTAAGTTTGTTGATAACATTAGTTAAATATCTTATACTTGTTCTTATTTTTATCTGCCTGTTCTGTCCATTACTAATGATTTAAACATTTCTAAATACAGTGATATTTCTACTTCTATTAGCTTTTAACAATTTTTTTTGCTTTATAATTATTAGTTATTTGGGCTTTGCTTTGTATTTTTTATGAATTGGACAGTTTATCATTGTCAAATATCTTTCTTTGTAGCTAATAATACTTCTTGCAATGAAATCCACTTTGTCTGATATTCATACCGCTATCTGATAATTAACACATTTTCCTACTACTTACTTTGACTCCATGGTTACATTTTTATCTAAAGAATTTTTCCTGCAAATAGTATATATTTGGAAACTACATTTTAACTCATCTTCTATTTTCTGCCCTAATTGGGAGGGTTTATCAAATTTCCATTACTATTATTGACATGGTCAATGTTCTGGCTATCTGTTGCTAAGCAACAAATCATTGCAAAGGTTTCTGGTACCTAGTAACTACTACAATATGCTCATGGTGCTGTGAACTAGGGCCCCAAAAGGAAAGCTCACAGTGGCTCTTCTTCCCTCCACGCTGCCAAGGGCCTCGGGGGGGATGACTCTGAGTTTGAAGATGCAAGCTTGGAGGATCACTTTCGAGGGACTTCTTCACATTCTTAACAGATGCCGTGGAAGGCAGGCTCACCTGGACTACGGACTGAAGTACTGTGCGTTTCTCTTCCATCAGTAACCACTGTGTGGGAAATTCCCCAACTGTGCTGCATGCTGTTTGAGCAAACGTTCACTGTAAAGGTCAATGTCCTGAGATCCTTTGTTCCTAACATCAGAAGCCATTGTTCAAAGCACTCACCAGCCTATCCAGGTTCAATGACAGGGGTCATGGAGCCTACCTTTCAAAACGTGGGTGCTCAAAGGACTTGCTACCATTTCTTAAAAACAGTTCACTTTACTTGGTTTGTTTTATCTCTTTATTCCTTTTTCTTTCTTTCCTTTTTTTTTTTGTTTTGTTTTGTTTTTCTAGACAGGGTTTCTCTGTGTAGTTTTGGTGCCTGTCCTTTATCTCTCTCTGTAGACCAGGCTGGCCTTGAACTCACAGAGATCTGCCTGGCTCTGCCTCCAAAGTGCTGGGATTAAAGGTGTGTGCCACCACTGCCTGGCATATTCCTTTTTCTTATTCACATGTTTTCTTTTGCATCAACTGGATAATGTTTAAGCCTACTACTGGTTGTTGAACTCTCTCTCTCTCTCTCTCTCTCTCTCTCTCTCTCTCTCTCTCTCTCTCTCTCTGTGTGTGTGTGTGTGTGTGTGTTTCCAACTACAGTATATATTCACATCACATATGGTTATTTTAAAATCATTCATACTATTTCAATATATAATCCCCCAAACATTACTTTTCATTAACCCTCTTTCTACTCACTTTAAGATGTTACTGTCTTTTTAAAAATCTATTGTCACAAATGCCACAATACAACTACATAATTCAGCGTTAAAAACATTCACAAGAGAACAAACTATCCTTTATAGATACCCATTTTTAAAAATTAATAAGCTTGATTTACAGAGTGGTTGCAGAGTCCCTGAAAAGCTGAATGGAAGGCACATCCAAGGATCCCCTTATGGGCTTTGTCCCAGAATCTGAACAATGACCGAATCCCATGCCACAGCAGTGTGCTTGTTGTGATCCATGGCTCAACACCGACACATCATCACCATACAAAGTCACCTTCATTTCAGGGCTCACTACAGGAGACTTCTGTGGGTTTTGACAAAGGTCTATCATGTTTGTCATATCGCCTTTGGAATATGATACAGAATCACTTGTCTGTCCTAAAACAAAACAAAAACAGACAAACAAACAAAAACCCTCTGCTGTTCCCATTCACCTTCTCTTCCATCCCCTCTGTCAGTCATTCATCTTTTTCTTTCTCCCTGGTTCAGTCTTTTCAGAATGTCACAGTCGGGATTGCACAGAACAGCCTTCCCAGCTTGGCCTCTTTCACTTGGTAAGAAGCACTTGAGTTTGGCTGTGGTTTAAGTTGGGTTTGAATGTGCACTCCTAGGATTCAGGTGTTTGGAGCTTGGCTTCCAGTCTAACTGTACTGGGAGGAGGTGTGGAAGATACAGGAAACGGGGCTTGCTGGGAAATAAGTAGGTAGCTGAAGACACTGACCTAAAAAAAAATAATAATAGTAAGGGTAGCCATCTTCTCAACCCCCTTTTTGAAACTGTCTTAAGATGTGTCGGTTCCTCATCTCATTGGTTACTGGTGTTTTTGAAGCTTTTAGGGGGAGGGGTTTACTAATTTCATTCTTAGCGGGGAGCTTGTTATTGACGTAGGAAAGCTACTCAGTTTTGTAGACTGCTATTTTGTTGATTTGATCCAAGAGTTTCTGGTGGGCTCATTAAAGTCTTTTAAATATAAGGTCACATCAATGCAAACAGGGATAATTTGACTTTTCCCTTTCCTGGTTGCATCCCCATTTCTTCTTTTCTTTGCCTAATTACTCTAGCTCAGGCTTTAGCTGCTATACAGAGTGAAAACGGGGTAAGTGGATGGATGCTCTTGTCTTGTGCCTGCTTTTAGGAGAAATGCTTTACTTTTGGTACATTTAATGTAATGCTGGGCACAGGTTAGTCATATAGACCCTGTAGCATGTTGTGATATGTACCTTCTATTCTTAGTTTCTTTGGTTTCTTTGTCAGAAAAGGGATGCTGAACTTTGTCCTACATCTTTTGTGCATCTTCTAAGATGATGATCCTCTCTCTATTCCCACGTCTATCTGTGTGCTACATTTTCTGATGTACATGTGTTGATGTCCTTATATCCCTGAAATTAAACCAACTTTATCATGATATATGATCTTTTTAATGTATGGTTGAAATCAGTTTGCAATAATTTATTGATAATTCGTACCTATGTTCATCAAGGAAATTGGTCTATAGGTTTGTATTGTTTTGTTTCTTCTGATAGCCTGATTTGGTTGTGGTAGCAGAGTCATAGAACTCACAGAATCCACTTGGCAGGGTTCTTTATCTTTCTAGTTGACAGGACAGGTTGAGGAGGGTTGAGGAGCACGGTGTTAGCTCTTTGATGATCTGGTAGAGTTCTGTACTGGGTAGGTGTGGTCCTGGGCTTGCCACTGTCAGGAGACTTCTCTACAGGTTCAATCGCATTGCTCACCACAGAGCCATTGAAGTTGTTTATATCCTGCTGTCTCAGTGGTGAAAGGACACCATGTCTAGAAACTTACCAGTTTTTTTCCCCCTAAAATTCCCAGCTTTTCAAAATAAAGTTTTTTTTTTCTTTCCCCAAGCATTCTCAACTGATCCTCTGGATTTCACTGGCATCTGTTTTCATTTCCCCCTCTGCATCTAAGTTTATTGTTTGTGTCTACTGTTTCCTCTCTTTTGGCCAGCATGGCTGAGGATTTGTAGATCTCCTTTATTTTCTCAGAGAGCCCACTCTTTAGTTCATGGATTCTCTATATTTTTCTTTTCTTCTCCATTTCATTAATTTCTGCCATGGTCCTTCTTGTTTATCTACTGATTTGAATTGTTCCTGTTTACCTGAGATATTAAGGGACATCATTAAGTTATTTATTTGAGATCTCTGCATACTTATTGTGGAAAGCCTAAAATTTCATCTTGAAATTTCCTTTTCAGTGTCTCAAAGGTTCTGATAAGCTGAGATTTTATTTTCATTTGATTCTAGGACTTTTAAATTTTCCTCCCTAAGGGAACGGAAGATGAGAAC